CTCGCTCTCTCTCGCTCTCTCTCGCTTCTGTCTTCGATCCCTGCATCTCCCCGTCCCCCCTTGTGACAAAACGCACCCACTTGTTGCACCTGGCGCGATCTAATTAATTACCAGAACTGGCCCGATTCCAGGACTTGGTTCGCCTCGGCCTACTGGGCTGCGGTGGTTTCGCCTCTGTGGAGCTCTGGGAACACAGGCGCAGCCTTGGCTGAAAGCTTCCGGTAATATAATATCATGCTATAAAATAAGTTAATAAGTTATGAAGTAATATAACATAATATAGCATATCATAAATAATATAACTTTTATATTTGAACATGATAAAATACCATTTAATATGCGATTATATAGTATTATAAAGTACAAAATCAAGTCTAAGAAATAAATATAAGATAAGTGAAGTACGTACAGTATATACTGTTATCATATATCATATTATAATGTGATATAACATAATATAAGATACTATGATATAGCATAATATCATAGAACAGAATAGCCTGCATTATGGTATAAGATAACATACTGTGATATAAGCTGAAAGAAAAAGCAGATAGCAGTACATAACAGAAAAGAATGTAAATTTATATAAAAACAAAGGGTCGACTATCATAGAATATATAAGAAAATAACCGAATCAAATAATATAATAGCGTATAAGACACTGTAACATAACATAGCAACATATAGTGTTGCATTGCTGCCACACAGGGACACGAAAGAAACCTATGCCATGAAGTGCGTCTCCAAGGGGTACATTGTCAAAATGGGCGGTGCGCTCAGTTTTGTTGTGAGCATATTGGCACACTGTGCACTCAGACTGCAGGGTCGTGTGCCGCAGGCATGCAGCAGAGCATCTTAAACGAGAAGAACATTCTCATGATGACGAATTCTTTCTTTGTCATCAAGTTGTTCGTGGCTAGGCTGCCTTCGGCATGATTTCGTGTCCTGTACGGCTCACGTCCAGATGGACGGCACTTCGGCGCCAGTGAGCTGACTCAGGAGTGCTTCAACGGGAGCCAGACACTCTACTTCCTTCTTGAAGCTGCCTTGGGGGGTGAGCTCTACGCAACGTACAACCGGAAAGGTCTGCATGGGTCGCCTCCTCAGCCTTTTGCAGCGCATAAGAGATGCAGCATGCCCTCAGCCGCGGCTGGCATCATGAGTTTTTTGTTTCTTTTGGGAAGCCAAAAATTTCATGTAGCCGTCGCCTGCGCAAGATGTAGATCTTCCTTCGAGGCATTGCGTTTCGTCCTGTTGAGATCTAACATCTGAGTCTAGTCTTGTATGTCAATGATCAACCACGATCTTGAACGATAATCTTGGAAGCAATGAACATGTCCATAGCGGTGGTTTTCCAAGCCTCTGTAGGCAGTCTGCCGCGGCATAACCAGCCGTGTTTGGTACCCTATCTGGCTTGCGCGCAAGGAGCGAAAAGCATGCAAAGTTCTACATTGCAGGCAGGACGTGCCATCCGTGTGGATTTTCGACAGACTTGTCCTCTTGATCGGATGGTGCTGCTGGTAATATCGGGGCCTTAATAGTTAGCTTTACTATTTTAGGGGTTCCTTGTTATAGTTATAGTATAACATACTTCAAAACCCTCTTCTTATTATTAAGGCCCCGACATTAGCTGATTTTGACAAAGCTTGGTTGGGCCTTCGTCGGCTGGTGCAGGCACAGTCTGTGCGCTGGCTCATCTGCATGACAGACGCATTATCTACCGAGACCTGCACCCTGGCTGGACAGGCCCCGAAACCTGAAACCTGAATCCCAAGCCCCAATCCGGAAACAGTCTGCTGAATCCCAGCAAAGACCCTCACGCCCAAATGAAAGACTGAAGCCCCGCAACTCCCTCAAATTGTCATGCAAATCCTTATACAAGCACCCTTTGTGAAAAATCTTCATGAAGCTTGGATTCGAAGGACCTCGACAAAATCCCGCAAAAAACCAGCAAACTATCACACCCTCAGCCCTAAAAACACCTATAAGTCCTTCAAGACCCTAAAAAACCCCGAATCTTTTAAACCCTTAAGAACCCTACAACCCCCTAATACCCCTAAATCAAGAAGGCCGAAACCTCCCGAACGTCCCTTAACTCCCCTTAGATCTGAATCCCCTACGAACCCTCAGACCCGAAACCCGGCATCAGGAAACCGGAGAATCTGCTGCTCAACGAGTCTGGGCAGCTGAAGCTCACGGAGTCTCGGAGCAGGGGTGTAAAGGGCTTATAGGGTTTATGGGGTTCAGAGGGCTTATAGGGTTTATGGGGTTTGGGGTTTAGAGGGTTTATAGGGTTTTGGGTTTGGGGTTTAGGTTTATACGGTTTGGGGTTTGGGGCTTTAGGGTTTTAAAGGCTAGACGCAGGGTGGTTTCCAGGCTCCTTTCAGTGCACCCTTTATGGATTGCATCTTTCGGGGTGCAGCTTTTGGTTAGGGTTTGAACGTCTATAGGGCTTTGGGTTTGGGTGTTTAGGCCTTTCGAGTTTGAGATCTAGGGTTTCGGATTGTACAGAATGGCTGGGAGAGACAGAGAGGGTTTCGGATTCGGGGGTTTGGGTTCACTTTGGCCCTCTAGATTAATTATTGGGGACTGGGGGGGGGCGGTATTGTCAATGCTGTGATGGACCGGTCTGTTACAGTAGGGACTCGTGAATGATAGATGAGGGTAATGTTTTTGAGTGATGAAGGCGTCCGTTTACAGGCTTTCTTGAATGGCCTTTCATCTGGCGCTGATACGTCTTCCAGGAATTGTGCGGTTGTGGCTTAGGGCTCCGGTTGGCAGATTTTCCGTCGGTTTCCTGCCAAGTGGGGGTATGTAGATCAGGATTTGGGCTTCACGATCAGGCTTTTGCGGGTGGGGAAAAGGACAGCACGGATATGCTACAGTAGTCACCGTTAGTCCAGCACATAGTGCGCTTGTCGATATGTCGGCTTTTGAAATTAGAATATGTTCCAACATATTGCATGATCATGGCCTTGTCTATGAATATCTGTCCAAGACGGAAGATGCCGTCTTCAGCGACAGTCGACTTGGCTGCGGAAACCTTTGCCAGTTCTACTGCACAACGGCTCAGCTCAGGACATGGGTCTCGCCAAGTTCGTCGTTGGGAAAACTTTCACGACGTGTGGGACTCCGGATTACTTTGCTCCAGCCCCTAGGCAGCAGCAACCCTGCCTTCTCTCGCCGCACTATTGCCACTGCTGCTGCTGCCTCGGCTGCCGTTGCGACTTATATACTACAACTAGACCCATAAGCAATCCCGTAAAGCCACATGGAACCCAAGACTCCCAAAGCCAAAGTGCAACCTGCATAGCCCGGACACCCGAAACCACGTGTCCAGAATGTGGAAACCGGCCCATGTATAACATCTAGGTCAAGATAGTGTCAGATGAATCTACGTAATAGAATTTACGATCAGATAGCTTAAGATGAACTTAACAGACTGGACCTCGAGGAGCTCATCTCCTCCTCCGGGCACACGCTACTTGGATGCGACACGAGGTTTCGGGATTTAGGGCATACTTGGAGGCACCGGGGGACTTAGTAGGCAGGTACGCAGTGGGGCGACAAGTAGCTGAACTTCCTTTACTCGGCTTGTTTGTCACCGACATTCTAAGTCCCCGACCCTCCGAATCATACATTACTCTTAGCCGGCCGAAGTATACACGCAGGACATCCTTTTTGCTCAAAGTCTGTAAGCGGTGCCTATATTGCGCGACTCGGAGCCGCAGGCATTGTTCAGAGCCTGGGGCAGTGATGCAGTCTCCATGTCCGAGCACAGCACGTACGAACACGTGAGCATATTTGTCAGCGACAAAACTGTTACTCTCTGACTCCATGCAACAACTGCTCATTCTTCTTGCACATCCATTGCCCGTGAAATGCACATGGCGAGGATTGCAGTGGATTGGTGGACGCTTGGAATTCTGCTTTTTGAGTTTATGGCTGGGCATCCTCCCTTCGAGTCGCCGACACCAGTCGAGACATACTCGAAAGTCATGATGCTCGGCTGCAAAACCCATGCTGGTCGATTGTGACTTACACCTGATTCAACCCGATCCCCAAACCCAATGCCAGCGCTTTACTCCCAGTTGAGTTCAGGAAAGGTATCGGGAAGGTGAAGATGCCGCCGAAGTGCCAAGGGGCCATCGGCGACCTCATCAAAGGCGTGGATCCCAGCCCCCTTCATGGACCTCCTGTCATTTTGGCAGGGATGGATCAGGACCAAACAGGTCTGCTTAACAGGACAAGTCCTGCCAGGGCAGGGATAAGTTGTAACCATAATGAAGCTGGGTGACGGGGCCGGTGCAGCGCATTTGGAGACTTTTCGAACTGTACTTCGGAAGGGGCAGGCAGAAAATAAACCCAGAACCTTAAACCTCCATCACCATGACCATCGTCGTCACAAGCGCGCCATGCTCAATTTCAGCATGCCTGTCTACAATTGAGGCTTGTGCGAAAACCTATAGCAGAGGAACTTGTTTCGCTTTTTGCCGACAGCCTGGGTTGACCGTTATTGCAGACGACAGAAAGCAATTTCCGAAGACACGGATTCACTCAAGGAGTCCATAGGCAATCGTGGCAGGAAGACCGTGAAGCAAGACCGATGCGAGCCGCCCGAAACTTGCAAAAGCGCTAAACTGCTAAACGTAGTTTTCAATTCAAAGAGACCCGCACGGGTGCCGATGCTGATCCTTTTAACCTGGCCCGCCGTGCTCTTAAGCTGATAATGCGGCAAGCTCGTACAAGTAGGTGTCGGGTCCTTACCAGGTCTGCTAAAGAAGGAGCCCAGCGAGCGTCTACCAATGCGTCCTGGCGCAATCCAGAACGTCAAGGATCACAAATGGTACGTTGGCTTCAACTGGGAAGGCATGGACGCTCGATGGCAGTGTTATATCACAGCACGTCTCGTCTCTCTCATACTCGTACCTTTCCAGAGCCCAGCTCTCAGCACCCCTTTGTCGGAGAAGCCTCCACCGGGTCTAGCATGCCGTGTACCGGAGACGTGCTTGCTGCATGCAACCGACCGAGGAAAGCCAGAAGTTGGATCCTCCGTACAAGCCGATCGTCAAGAGCAGCTTTCATGCGCACTGAGAGGGCGAGGATACCAGGAAACCGTCGCTCGTAAAGTCATAGCTCCACCACCATAGCCGGAGCTTGTAGCGCCTCAGCTGTTAAATGGAATCTGCTTGGGTACGAAGTCTTTCAACACCCATGCAAGCGGCCTGTTGGGGCGAAACCGCTCGGCGTATTGCTAAGGCGAAAGATTTTTACTGTTAAGGGAAGGTCCACAATCGCTTTTCTGACTGCACTTCCGTGGTTGATTTGGTAACCTCGGAGGAAAGAAGGAGACGGACACTGGTAGGAGGGCGATAGGCTCGTTGTTGGGCTCTTGGAAGGGAGCTTGGGCTACTGGCCGTATGAAGTCCGGGCTAATGCTCTCAGCGCGGGTGGCCATCGGGTCAAGTTGGGGTAGATATACAGTGTGTGCGCGAGTACGGATCGGAAGGAGTTCATCCTATGCTTTGAACTGAGGCAAGAAGGATATGACAAATTTCGTCGCGAGGAAGGCAGGTGCCGAGCAGCTTCGTAGGGGCCCAGCCGTAGACCGGAAACCTGCCAGGATGATATGCCCAACCAGATCGAATACGAAGATGATGAGAGTGGATGGGACCAAGACTTCGCGCCTCGCTGCATTTTGTTTCTGGAGATGTACTGTAACAGTCGTGCTGGAGTATGCTTACTTCTGTGGAGCCCGCCAGAATCCTTCAAGCTGTAGCACCTTTTAATGCGACTTTCGCTGTTTGTTCCATCCTCCGACCTTTCGTTGCCACAAAGCTCATGCAATGCCCCGAGGCCACTTGACTCGAATTGCGTGCCAACGGCAACGGGGACTAGCCGACCAGCCCAGTGGCTCCAGACCCAAACATTGCAGTGCTGTGCTTTTGCTGTGCTGTTGGAGTGCATGTCACAGGGATGGTACTTAGGTTACGAAGCTTTCGTCAACTGACTGGATTTGTGTCCACCATCCCATACCAAACTTCGGTTCGAGTGCCGTGATCTGATACTTGCCAATTAAGCAGCAGATGCAATCTTACGATTCGAAGCAGGGCTTGAGGCAGCTGGCTGGCCAGCTTTTCCATGAGCACCTCACTGCTCACCAGCTTCCGTCGCAGCTTGTTGCTCGAAGAGCTCCTTCGGCGGCCATGGAGACGCAGGTTTCTCAGCTGGTGGAAGAAGCCGTGCAGAGGAGCCATGATCAGTTCATGGCCCGTCTCGACGCACAGCCCGAGATCAACTGCCTTCTACAGGGTGCCGGGATGGTCTTCTGAGAAGTTTGTAGAGGCGAACGGCAGGACACGGGTGCTTTCAATCCACGCAGCCGAATGCAAGCTAAGGACAACTGGCTGCTGGCGCTTGAGTGCAGGCTTTGTCACGACGATTACGAGACACTTCCTGCCGACCATCATCATTCTCCCCATTCCCACAGCCACGCAATCAGCCCGGCACTCCGTGCAGTATCTGGCTTGCACAACAGCTAGCTTGGCAGCTCGCGTAACGCATGGTTGCTAGGTTTCCATTGACCCGATCGGTCTGTTCAAAAGTGCATGGGGAAGTAAAGCTGCTACAGGACGCCATCGAGCCTCGCTTCAGCAACTCTACGTCCCGCAGTCCATTCTCCGGATACTCCATGGAGAACCCTCTAAAGCCCTAAAGCACTGCAGCAAAACAGCACCAGCCGCGCAAAGGCTCCAAATTACCAAAGCCCTCGAAGGCCGAAACCCTGAAGCCGAAATCCCTGCAAGGGCCGTGAAAAAAATCCTTCATCCCCTGGCCCTAAACTTTCCTAAACAATGAGCCCTGAAGCTAAGGAAGGGACTATGGAGCCTTCTGGCTCGGGTGAGGCCGAGGTCGAGGATCCTTGGGCCGCCCTAACATCGAGGGTTCAGGGTGTCGGGTAATAGGCTGCCTGTAGGTTAAGCCTTAACGTTTTCCTGAAGGGTACCATGAGAGGTTCGGTAGGGTGTCAGGTTTAGGGCCAGTTTAGGGCTTGTAAGTGCTCGAGGGGTTGTTTTTGTTTAATCGTTTTCCTTTTGTGGTTTAGAGATGATCGAGGATTGGGAAGGTTCTGGGTTTTTCTTGTTGAAATAGGGGTGGCAAGATGTAGTAGAAGTGGCAACGGCAGCTGCAGCAGCAGCAGCATCCCAACATCAGCTGAGCATCAGCAATTGGAGCCAGTGCAGGCCCCTGAAGAATCATTTGACATCAGTGCAGGCAATGCGCACTGCAGTCATGGCAACGGTAGCACGGCGAGAAACTCGAAACTGTAGACACTTCAAATCTTGTTTTTGTCCATGCCGACCAGCGTGTAATACCGAATCAGCAGCAAGAGAAGACAACCGTAGCAAATGCAGCAACAGTCGGCACTAGCAACAATGAAATTTGGAGGGCCCCTACTGATAAGAACAGCAACACATGACACATTACGTGTGTGTATCTATATATATATATATATACATTTCCAGGGAAAGTGATTTCCAAGTGTCACTACGGGCCCTGATGCCTTCATTCTTCCGATTGGATGACGAAATTCAGCTCCCCCAGCTGTGGGTTTCTTGGACCTGTACCCTGAAGCCGAATCTAAGATTTTGCGGCACTTGCCTTTCGACCGTAGGCTGGAAAAGGCGGACAACTGAAAACTCCTCGGGAATCCCCGATCCCCTTAAAACCCCAACCCCTTGAAGCCTTAAGCAACACTAAACCCTAAACCCCCAATCCCTGCAGAGCTTGAGCTCGAGGAAACTCATCGAGTAGAGCTTGATAACGCGACGAGCCCGATGGCGAGCCACGAGGCCCTTGGCTCTTGGCTCGGTCTTCACCATATCTACTACAATGCGAAACATGTAATGCATAATATACAGAAAACCTCACATGACAGACGATGAAAGATATAGTGTACAAATATATATATATATATATATATGTATATATATATATGTATTATATGTGTGTGTAATATAACATAATCATATAATATAGAATAAGATAGTATAATAAGCTGTAATATAATGTATCATATTTCAACGTATAGGATATGTAGTATATAACAATACCTCATATTTTAACAATACCAACTAAAATATGTAAGATATAGTATAAAATACAGAATAATATTAATATTACTGATAGTATATACATATGCACTATGGTCTATAATGTATTGTTCATGATATAACATGTATAATAATAATATATCTATAAAAATAACTATTTGATCCACACTTTATAGAGTATAACATATACTACATGGCATATACTATTTGCTATACAACGTATTATATAACGTATAATACAGAATATATATATATATATATACAAATATGTAATACACATACATAGCAGTTGATATGTAAACTTTATGTTTGGAGCATGTAACATATAACCTATTATTTGAAATGCATGATGGCTTGTGTACAAAAGAAATGCATAATCTTATGTAAGTACTAATATTTGATCGTAAATTTCTAACAATTAGCATGTACACTAAGTATTTGAGTACATTTTTTGATAACTTAAAATAAATAATACACAAGAGATAAGAAATAGTAGGTACTACATATATATATATGTATATATATATATATATTGTGTAGTTCATAATGTATAATGTATAATGTGTTTAAATATAATTATACACTGTTATGTACAGTATGCAATATACAGGATGCAATATACAATGCTTAATCTATAATTGATAATTGATCATATATACGAGGTAGCAGACAATACATAGCATATAATATATATATATATATATTCCTCGCAAGGCTCACCAATCTGAGCTTCATATATATATATATATATATATTCCTCGCAAGGCTCACCAATCTGAGCTTCCCTGAAGCTTACAACCTGCCTGCCGAAAGAGAGAGGTGAAGCCTCATCGTCCATCCGAGCGCTCGCAGTCGAGCTACGATCTGGCGAAACGGGAGGGGTCAAGGCTGGAGGTGTACAAGATACTCGGCTGCTCAGTTTGGTAAAACCATCATTTTACAGCAGCTCAAGCTCCCGAAATGCTCCAAGCAGTCAGACAGTGCCAATGTTCAACAACTGTACCTTAGAGCAGAATTCCCAAGAAGTTGTGCGTGCTCCAAGTGTCCGAACACCTGCACTGGAAGTGGGTCCAAGCCGCCCAGGAAGCTCTACACGGAGAGCATGCATCCGGATGCACCGAACGCATGGCTTCGACAAGCTTGTCCCTGCATTGTGGCTTTCGAATCTGCTGCTCGGAGGATCGTCACATCGCAGCGCTTCGAGATATTTTTTGCCACAGTACCTCGCATGCCCTCATGGGGGGAAGGGGCATTCAGAAACTAGGGGTACCTAATTTAGGAGTTTAGGGGCCTGTCAGGGCAGATCCTCTTGTTTAACTAGTTGGGGTCCCACAATACCTATCTATTGTATACACTTCATCCTTAAAGGGGTTACTGTGTAGGTACTTGACGGCCTAAGTATACAGACTATACAGGCACATGAAGCCTTAATGTAGGGTCCTAAATAATTACCTATACTATGTTGGGGGTTCCCATATTATAATTGCAGTTTAATCGGCCCTCTAATTATTAAGGCCCCTCCATTGGGGACAAGCATTGCCCAGGTGCTCGTGTCAAACGCGCTGTACATCGGAGCACAGATCCAGTGGATGTCCGCGCATCCAACTGACCTCATCGATCCGGGCTTCACAATCGTCCATACCCTCTATGCTGTAGCTTTTGCTTGATTCATTATGAATACTATGCATTGGCGATACACCGCAGGAACAAAAACCAGCTGAACCTAAAAGCGATGAAGACAGTTTTGACCCTACTCCCAGCAAGCTGGTATTGATCTGCTGAGAGCCCCAAAGCCCTAAACTGAGAGGTCATCTTCACCAGTGAAGTTGCGCTGAACTTGGTGGCCTTTGGCTTCAAAAAGTTTCTTTGTTCCAGTGGATGGGCCTGGGCATGGCTGGACGTCTTGGTCGTCTTCTCCGCGTGGATTGCGCCTCTGCGACATTTCAGACTTCGCGCAGTCTGTGCCCTGCAAGGAACATTGTAAAACGTGAGTTCCCAAACTCTGAGTTGCGGAGTCTTCGTAGTGTATATTGGACAGTCGCATGCCCGAATCACCCTGGACCACGACTCTCAAAAGCCGCATCCCCAACCACTGAACCCGACGTTCGAAACCAAACCCGAAGCCGAGGTCCCACGCAATAAAGCTCACCTTCGAGAGCTCTATAACAATCCAGAAAATGTGCTATGACCCTCTATTTTGAGTCAGGAGCTTTACCTGGACATCCAGCAGATGATGAACTCGCCGGCCTCGGGAACCAGCGAAGCTGGGCCTTGAATTTGTTTCTTTTCCGATTCCCAAGCAACAGCCAACTCTTCGGATCGATGTAGCGTAGAAATGGTTTCAGTGCAGAGGGTATAGATTGCACAAAAGCTGTGGGACACTCCAACACACTCTTAAACCGCAAATTCTAAAACCTTATCAACCCTGAGCCAAGGTGCGGATCGTTAGAGTCTTCAAGTTCACACGAATTCTACAGGGCCTCAGGTCGCTGCGCATCGTCCGCTACGTAAGCGGCTTGCGGATTCTTGTGTATTCGATGTATGATGCCACCAAGTCCTTGCTCTGGGCGCTCATCCTACTTGCACTGATCCTTTGTCATAGTTGGGTAACATTTTACATTTTTACGGGTACTTAAACCGAACAAGGAATATAAATTTAGATTTTAAATACTACCCCAACCATGAACTAGGATCATCTATGTCTTCGGCCTCCTTTTCAGCAGCGCGGCCTTGGACCATGCAGTGACAGTGGGACCCGATGTGGTGGACCCACAATTGAAGCGATTCTTCGGGTCCGTGGATGTTTCCGTAACAACGCTGTACCGCTCTGTTCTGGGTGGACTTGTTTCTTTGCATGAATTCAGCAGGTCTTAGCTAGAGTTAAGTGGGAAGCGACTGCCTCGTTTAGACAAAGATGCATGTCCACATTTCTTTTGCTGTCGATGCACTTGAGCAAGATCGAAAGCCCCAATGCCAGCAACACGAAGAGTCATCTGTTTAGCTCGCTGCTCATAGCCTTGTGGGCCTGACACCCCCGAATTGCCCGAAAATGCAAGCCCTTCTACTCTATGCTTTCAAGCTAAAACACCCCAAAGCTTTTTCAACTGGGACCGATGTCCTTCGCTGCCAAGGATTGGGGCGAGGCCGCAGGGCCACTAGGGACCGCCGGCTATGTGTGGGTACAAATCTTCCAGTTCTACATCGGCTTTGTGACCGGGTCTTGAGCAGCGTGAGGGGTTAAGGCCTTAGGGTGTTGAGTTTACGGTCCAGGGCCTAGGGCTTCGGGCTTCGAGTTCAGGATATGGGTCTAGGGATGTTTAGGGTGCAGGGCTCAACCATTCGGGGATATGAGTCAAGGGGCTGAGTGCTGCGATGCCAGCAAAATGCGTCTCCAATGCTGTATGTCTAAACCCTCGAAGCTCAACCCTACACCCAACATTGTAAGCCCGAAGCCGTAAACCCTGTAAGCCGCAGAGGCCCTAAATCTTGTAAGACCCTTGACCCTGGAATAAACACTAAAGCATAGAGCACTGCCAACTTCTGAATCTTTAACCAGCTTCTGAACCTACAATAGATCACCCTCGAATAGCCGGATCTAGACCATAAGTTAACCAAAGTGGCAGAAGCCCGTAAATGATAGATTCTGCACACCACATACTAACAACCCCGAAACCTCCAACCCGAAGCCATAAACCCCGAAAGCAAGCCAACAGCCCTCCGTGCCGGCCCAGGTGAGCTTTGCCATCTTGAACGATCCTTGTCTCACAAAGCGTTAGAGAGAATCCCAAACATAGGGTTTTAGAGTTGGTTGTCTCTTAATATTTAGTAATAATATCCCCTTAAAGGTCCTGTAATGCTGTAGAAGAGAGAGAGAGAGAGAGATATATATATATATATATATATACCGAAATCTGCCGGGGGATTTTCGATTTCAGTATTGCCTGTATCGTTCCCATGCGGAATAACATGACAGCTTGTTCTACTTGTGTTCACTCACTCCCCAGTGGGCGTTCAGGCATCTCTCTCCACTGTAGAGCCGAGCCCTCCTGGTCAAACATCAGGGGGGGGCAAAAACCCGCCTGGACAACGCGGGTCTTTCACTTTTCCCGGGCAGCCGCAGTCCTTGTGATGCTTTGTGATGTTAGAGTCGTGCCCTTGTGTTGCAGCGGCTCCACTACCAGCGGGCGAGGGGGAAGCTCCTCCTGTTGCGGACAAAGGGATGCTGTTGTGTAGTCAGCTTTTTTCGGCCGGGGCCTCAGTTGCAGTTTTTGTTGTTCCGCGACAGTGGGGGTGATCCCCTGGGCTCTGTGCAGCCGAGTCTGCTGGGGCGAAGCTCCGGCGGGGGAACGTTAAAACCTGTGACCCGCAGGTG